ACTAATGACAAGATCTTCGATTCCTGTTTAGATTGATTCGGCTAGAAATCACACGATCTCATATTCGAGTTTCGGGCTGCATACTGCTAAGCTGAAACTTTGGAAAATCATAACTTCCTCATACGAAGTTAGATTTGGACGATCTTTTTATGCATGCTCTTGGTTTAACGAACTTTACAACATTCGTTTAGATCACTAAGTCTAAATATCACTCTATCTCAAATTCACATTTTACGTCATTCAGCATCGTATCGGTCCTGTCACGAAACTTCGACAGGTCATAACTTCTTCGTTATTACTCGGATTTTGACATTACTTATATCTCCGAAATCCTTGTTTCAACCACTACATCTTCAAGCAAAGATATCGGGCTTATCTCACACTTTACTTTTGATGCTTATTTTGTTCTTAATTCATTAAATTATAATAATAAAGAAAACAAACATGTAAATCACATAATTTACATAATACTCAAATATTTCATCATTAATACTTCAAAAAGAGTTACAAGGCTAACCTAGACTATTACATCAACGATAATGCCTAGCCTGGAAATGCAGACATTACAATTGTCTCCCCCTTAGGATGATTCTATCCCCGGAATCACACATCAACAAACAAATACGGATAGCGAATCAACATGTCACTCTCCGTTTCCCAGGTAAGATTTGGCCCATTCGTATGTTTCCATTGGACAAGCACTAAATCGACCATCTTGCATCACAACTTCTTAGTCTTTCGGTCAATGATTGCCTCTGGTTCTTCAATTAAGCTTTTGTTCTCATCAATTCTTAATTCAGAAATTGGAATTATATCGGGAACTTCTCCCATGAACTTCCTCAAATAAGACACATGGAAAGTGTTATGAATTCCATTCAGTTCTTCGGGTAATTCGAGATTGTAAGCGTGGTTCCCAACCCTCTGAAGAACTTTAAATGGTCCAATAAATATTGGACTTAACTTTCCCTTTTTCCAAATCTTATAAGTCCCTTACACGGCGAGACTTTAAGCAAAATCGAATCTCCAACTTCTAAAGTCATCAGTCTTTGCTTTTTGTCAGCATAACTCTTTTGACGATCCTGAGCTGCTAACATTCTTTCCCTGATTATTTTCAGCTTTTTAGCTATTTGATGAACCATATCTGGTCCCATAAACTGCTTTTCCCCAGCCTCAAGCCAATAAGACAGCGTACGACACTTCTGTCCATACAAAGATTGATAAGGTGCCATCTTTATGCTCGAGTGGAAACTATTATTGTAGGAAAATTCTACCAAAGTTAAATGTTCATCCTAGTTACCTAGGAATTCCAGGGTACATGCTCCCAGCATATCTTCAAGTGTTTGTATCGTTCTTTCGCTCTGACCATCAGTCTATGGATGGTAAGCTGTACTTAAACACAACTTGGTACCCATTTCCTCTTGTAGACTTTTCCAAAATCGTAACATGAAACGACTATCTTGATCTGATACAATTGTTAGAGGAACACCGTTAAGTCTCACGATTTCCTTCACGTAAGCATTCGCAAGCTTATCCATGGACCATTTTTCATTGGCTGCTATGAAGTATGTACTCTTGGTGAAACGATCCACGTCCACGCAAATCATGTCGTGACCGCTCTCTGTCCTGGGTAGTTTAGTGACAAAAGCATAAACAGAACTTACATTCATTATCACTAGTGATTTATATCTCCTTAATCTCTCAGTGTAATGTGACGTCATATCAACACCTATGATATAAATAAGCTGAGTGGGTCAGGTTGGGAAACCTGGTGAGTACATAGTGTTGGATTAGTGTCTAAGTCCATAACTATTTTGGTATGTACTTGACCCGATGGTGCATGGTCCTTTTGGGTTGCCTTCACCAAAGCAACTTGATAGGATGAATTATGGAAAGAAAGGATTAAATATGATTTATTAATGTATTATGAGAATAATATATTAAAGGAGAAATCATATTGTTTAATTAATCTTAGTCAATAATTAATTGGTAATTAGTTTTGTGACTAAAAGAGATTAATTAAACTTAAGGGACTGGAATTGTAATTATAAGATAATTATAATTTGGGCCATGGATTGCCTTATGTTATGAGGTGGACGAATTCTATGGGGGAAGCCCATATGAAATCGTCCAAGGCCTTATGGAAAGGGTTCCATGGGTGGCTTAGGGCTTAAGCATCCAAATTAGGGTTTCCTGGTTAGATAACCCTAATAGCCTTACTATATATAAGACCCTTATGACTCAAAAATGTGGCTAATGATCTTTCTAGGGTTTCACATGTTTTTGGGCAGCCTCAAACCTCTCTCCTCTTCATCCTCTTGCTTATGGTGTTTGTGAACCATTAGAGGAGTGACACTTGTGACTCTAAGCCTTCCAAAGTCAATACAAGGAGATTTGGGATTGTTATTGCTACATAACAATCAAGGTAACATTATAAACTTATTCTTATGGCTAATATGATTATTTGAATGCTAGAGTTAGGGTTTATAGTCTTGGATAACTTGCATCTACAATAGAGAAACCTAGATCCAAGCTTTAGGGTTTCTATGAGCACATAGGATGTTCTTAGGACCAAAACCCATCACATAGGACTGGTACTAAGTCCATAGCTGCCAATGCTCATTCGTAAAGCACTAATTCCATAGATGCTAAAGTTCATTCATCGGGTACTAAATCCATAGCTACCAGCACTACTAGAAAAACAGCCTTTTACGACGCTCATTGCGCGTCGTAAAGGGCTCAGACGACGCGCAAATGTGCGTCCAGGAAGGCCCTGTCATAAAGAGAGACGATGTGCTTTTGCACGTCGTCTATAGATGACGTGCACTTACGACGCTCATTTACGACGCACAATTACGACGCACGTTTACGACATGCAATGCGTATCAAGAAAGGCCCTGTCATAAAGGAAGACGACACACATTTGCGTATCGTAACCTTACGACGCGCGTGTTAATGACACACAATGCGTATCAAGAAAGCCCGTGTCAAGAAAGGCCATGTGATAAATGCAGATGACACACATTTTTGCGTATCATAATTTTAATTGTTTAAAAAAAATTATTTGTAGATTTACTAATTTTCAAATTAAATTTCCATTTCATGTATCATAATAAAAAATAAAATACCATATACAAAAAATATAATATATTGCACAAAAGTTAATGTCATACAAATAATCATTCCAATAGTAGACAAATGGATATCAAAGGGATCGAAAATATGTTTGTCTTCTAATAGAACTTATACACAGGAAAGTACTGAATTTGCTATTGAATTTATACACAAGAAGAAGGTGTTTGACTTCAGAAAATGTCCCAGCAACTTAATTGGCCCCGGAAGCTTGTGGTTTGACTGCAACTGAGATAAGGATACCTTGTTTACTCTTCTTAAGCTTATTAAACAAACATGACAATAAGATAATATAAAACTGAATTATTATTAAGATTAAGCCACAGATGCACTCAAGCTATACAATAAGATAATTGTGTAGATTTTTGAAAGTACAATGTTCTAATAAGAAAAAATGAAATTAGGATGTTATAAACTTGTAATAAATAAATAAATCAATGAAAGTGCATTGTTACTTTATGAATCTAACCCTAAAAAAAGCTATAGAACTGAGGAGGCGAAGATTACCACAACTTTATTTTGCAGCATGAATGTCCCCGTTATGATGGATACCTGTTGATGACAAGAAACCAAATTATCAAGATAAAAATAATTATAACATTTCTTGCATGTTGCATAAATATGTGCAAATATTATCTTATATTAAGTAATAAACTAATAGTAGCATGCAATTAATGAAGTAGACAAATTTAGTCCCTGAAAAACTTACATATAAAACATTCTTTATAATGGATGCACAATTTAAAGTCAACGAGGGAGCAAATCCAGTCAACATGGCTATGAATGGATAACTCGTGAGTAGTGGTATAGACACAACCTAAACAAAACATATTCAAGACCTCACTTAACAACCAAACATCCCATTTTTCAAGATTCATATATAAAACTTTTTTTCTCTCATGCAAAATCAATAATTACATCAAAAATGAATAATTAAATTAAACAAATGGTAAAAGAAAAACTAAATTAAAGAAAAATTGCTTACTCCTGCAATACGAGCTATTACTATAGGGCCAAATATCCTCTCCAGAAATGGATACAATGTGAACTAGAAGTGTAAATCATATTCATACCTGTTTATAACCAGGGAGCACCTATGAAACATCATTATGTAGCTCCTCGCTTCTAATTTCCTGCAAGTGTAAATCAAAATAATAAGCTAAATTGTAAATATGCATCAAGCCAAGGGCAAAAGGTGGAATTTTTAATACCTGACTTAGGAGAGATAAGTGGGCTGTGATCAACACCTTGGGCTCACAAAATACTAATCGCACTGTGGAGTTGATGGGTAACTTTTCTAACTCAAGCCCAAGTTTTACTGAATCAACTCTGACTTTGGTCAAATAGGGATTAGACCTACCTTATATTCACATAAGGTTAATCCAACCAACGACACAATTGGCGCCAATTCCTCTTCGCACCTCTGTTTCTCTTCTGCCGATCGAACCTCAATTGGCCACCTCTTACTCAACCACGATACCCAACTCCTCGAGGTTGGAGGCGTTGGCTTATCCTAATATCGTCTTCAAAACCCTAGGGTTCAATTTTGGATCCTCTGTCATCCAAAACGAGTTATTGAGCATTCTTGTTGATTCACCTGGGCACATTGGCTCTTCTACTGATATTAATGTTGTCTTATGTATCAGATATGGTGTATTAGCTACTGTTGATTGCAATAAAGATGATAGTGTCATGGAAAAAAATTCAGTCTCCAAAATTGTGGAGAAATATTTCATCTTTTTGTGACTGTTAACAAAAGTGACAAGTATTTCTCTAAATATCTGGTGCATGGAGCATACTTCACATTTCAAAAGGTTACTGAAGATTCTAATGTCACCTTATCCAAACATCAGGACCCCTTGGGTGATATTATGGTTCCCCAAGAAAGAGTGCAGGGGAATTGGTGTATGCTTGCTGGAATCAAAATACAGGAAAAAGGTCTTGAACAAGTTACAATTACAGCTGGTTATGATGATCTTGGTGGAAGTAATGTCATTACTGGTGAGAACAAGAAGAGTATGGAGAGCTCTTGGATCCTGGTGAATTTGAAGAAGAAAGGGATTGATGAAGAGAGAGATAAAGAAATACTTGTTATTGCTAAAAAGGGAAAAGATGTTAGCAAAAATTTGATGTTAAGGTTGTTGCCAGATAAGTTTCCTGGGGCAAATGGAAGTGGAAGTGAAGTGACTTATGGTGAGCTTTATCGGTTGGAACAGTTCCTGTTGTGCCCCCTTAAGGTTTTAGATGATTCAGGTGATGGTTTTACTAAAGGACTTGAAGCTGAATTAGGATGTTTACATAGCAAGGGCTTTAATGCATCAGTTGCTTCTGGTGGATGTGGCTGGTACATCACCTTAGATCCTAATGAGAATGGTTGGGAAGTTGTGAAAAAAGGTGGGAATGCACAAGTCATTGGTGAAGTCCCACATAAATTCAAGAATGTTTTTGAGGTGGTGCGGACACCAAGCGAGGGTCCCAGTTTTCATTACCAATACTTCTCCTCGGGTGTGATGAGTAATAAGAATGGGAAGGTTGATAAAGTTATCAAGATGATCTTAGAGGAATTGGAGCCAGTGATTCTAGGGCAAGCCACCAAACAAGGGTTCAAACTTGAAGAGATGGAAGGAGAACAACAGCAACATGAGTCACTTAAGAAGAAGTCAGAGGAGATTTTGGTCTATTCTCTTAAGTTATTGATGTTACACGTGAAGTTTGATTTGTTTCGGGTTTACCTTTCATTTTGGCAACCGCACTTGAATAGGAATACAAGGACGACCCATTCTTTCCTTCACCTTGAGGACAAGGTGAAAGTTTGGGCCGTTGGTATTGATAAGCCCCGACATTTCTGTTATCTTTTTGGCCAGGGGTAGGATGGTCTTTTCTGGTATTATGGCTGTTTTGTTATGTCAAGAGCACTAACTTTGTCCCAGGACTGTTTTAGGGGACCACTCCCTAGAGGTTTTTGTTTAGTAGCTAAGAATTATTATGAATTGAACTTTGTTCTTTCTTGGAGATACCCACATCTCGAAAGCTAGGAATTATCTTAATATTATCACGTAATTGAATCAGGGGTTAAAATGCCTGGAGTTTATGATAGATTCAACAAGGGTCTATCAGTGGCTTGGGATTAAAGGACTTACAACAAATCTTGTAAGAGCATAAATGAAAAGTGCAGTGTTGTAAACTGTAATAGAAAGAAATAAAAGTAAAATGTTTTCACAATAAGCAAATACATAAAAGTACGTTGTTATTTCTTGTAAACTGTAATATACCTGGAAAGTGAATATGACCTGGAAAGTGAATATCATCTTCTGTCACATTCTCCAACATGATGAACTCAAGGATATTAATAAATGGAGGACCATTTCTTGGGTTGACAATGACTGGAATATCCAAATCATGCTTCCCATGCTTGTTCATGGTGGTAACCCTAACAGTATCTTCACCACTGAAGTTCCCCTCCCTGATTTATAAATATCATATAATATTAAGAGGTTAAAACTCAAAAGTAAAGGGAAAGTAGTTAAAAAATTGGTAGAATTTTGAGTACCCGATGTATCTAGGGTTTGCTCACACAGTTGAACCACCTTTTTATGCTTCCCCAGCTGTGTAATAAGTAGGGGCAAATCAGTCAATTTCAATTATTAAACTAACAAAGATTATGAATCACATTCACATACCATGAGAAGAGCCTCTCCTTTCATATTAAGTAGTTTCTCTGAATATGAGCTTATTGACCTTCATGAAATTGGGATCTAATGCAGCGGCCATTCTACAATCGTTTAGACATTTTCCCTCATTCTTCCAAGAGCCATGCGTATAGTTGCACGATTGCTATAACAGGAAATAAGAGGTTGTATACAAACGCCAGGTGTCTTTGTATGTTGTATTGAACTAATACCCTTTGAATAACATACTTCAGCTTCTGATAAATCTGCACTCTTATAAACCTCGTTTCCCCTGCACAAATCAATTTATTTCAGAAATCAAAACCATATTAGGTTTATACAAATGTAAAATATCAAAAAAAAGGGGGGGGGGGGATAAAACAACACCTTTTTCGCGAACTGTCACATGTTTCTTGAGCTGTAGCCTTTGTGTGCACCCTGTTACCAGGTTTATGAAAATAGGACACATTAACACAGCCAGTTCTCAGCTTATACTTCTTCCGATGTGGCCGTTGTCTCACTACCATGGCAACACTATAAAAAGATGTAACAGAAGGTGAATATATATATTTTCATGTCAAAAAAAAAACTTACAAGAACAACTAGCGGATCACGAGTAAGAGCATGGCCATTGATCATGTTAACAGGAAGCATGTTCCCATCTCGATCTATTGTGTTCACTAGAGTCTCATCTCCATCCAGGCATATTTGAGCAACATCAAGTCCAGCCTTCACCAAACCACCCTATAAATAAACATATATATGTAAATACTAGTAAATAGTCAAACAAAAGTTTATTAAAGTCAACTTTAGGCTACTTACTGGATTGTTTCAGAGATCCAAAATGTAAGATTCAACACCCTGATTTTCATATTCACGAATGGCGTGTTTCATATCTGTAGCAGCACTCTGTTTACAAAAGGTTGTTGTTAGATGAATTTAAGATATGAAGTTATAAAGTAAGACTAAGATTTAGAGAATTAATAAGCACCTGGGAGAAGGCTAATAGATTTACATATCCGGTTTTGGATACACGACCATTTGGTGTTCTATGAGGAATGATGACACTTAATATAGGAGAAAGTCTGATGAATTCCCGGGGTAGTTTCACCTCTCTAAAACTAGAGTCAATGGCTAACTTTTTTTCCATGTAGATCAGAAATATGAACATGCACAAATTTCTATAAAACCCTTTGGAAAGGAATCAACCATTCCATTCCTTCCTACCAAACTTAAATGTAAGAAACTTACATTGTGCACTTTGACTGTAACACTTGTCCCAACATAACCTCTAAGCTTTTGTGCAACAGATTCACCACTAATCCCTTTAACTCTCTCTCCATTTATTTCAATCAACTCATCTCCTACATGTATTCCAGCTCTAGCAACTGGGCTACCCTCAACACAGGACAATAAAACCTGAAACAAAAAATTTTAAATTTTTAAAAATAAAAAATAAATAAGAATCCATAACTGAGGTCTCAGGTTCAAGTCTCAGCATCATAAACCAGATGACCGGTTTCTGGTTCAGTATTCACAAATAGTCTAACTCCTTGTACGTTTCCATCACTTCCAATTCTAAAACTTTGGTATTCCTGTACAAATCATTGCCGAAAATAAACTAGAGTAAGTTCCCCCTTTTGGAATCTAGGAGTAAGAATAAGTTACAAAAATGGTTCCTGTTGTGTCTGAATTTTAGTCCAAAACTGAAAACTCTTTTAGAAACCACATGGACAATTTTTGTAAAAGTAATGGGAAAAGTTGCACCTTTGGACTGATAATGCGAGTGAAGCGATCTCCAAGAGTAGAAAGCATTCCTTTAATCTTGCTGTATGCGGCATTAGCTGTTCTAAGTGGATGCATTTCCACCATTGTTTGTTGGAATTTCAAGTCCCAGTCTACAGAAAACACATAAAATTACGTTAAACTTATTGACACTAAATGACATAATACAACAGAAATGAATCGTACCTTGATGATTAAAAGTTGGATCAACAAAAGTCTCTCTGATCAAACCCCAAGTCTCTACGAGAGTTCGCTGCACATCATTCACCTGTTACGAAATCAAAATTTACCAAACCCATATAAGCAATAGATTGAACACCTTATCTGAACAACCCATTTAAACTACTAAAAAAGATGATCGAACTGAACACCTACCTCATGAGTATGAGAAGCTGGGAATGCTATTGTCAAGGACTCGGCAAGAGCTGGCGAATCTAAACAAACAGAGACTGCAGCAGCGAGCCTGATCAAACCTTTAGCGATTGAATCAATCAATTTCTTATTGGATTCAACTGATTCGTTCTAATTTTCCTTGGGTAAAGCTTGAGGTGGTGTTGGTACTTTACACTTGCTATGGTAACCACTAAAACTGGAAGAAGATAATCGGTACTTATAGGGAAAAGTTGAAGAGGTTGGTGTTTGAGGGGTTTTGGTGTAAATTTATGAAAGGGGTGAAGAATTACTAAGATCGAGATTAGGTTGGTGTAGAGCATCCATGGTAGATACTCTAACTGGGGGATTTAGGGGGTTTGTAGATCGTAATCAATATGAAGGGATTTATGGGGAATGAATGAACAAGTGTAATGGTTGGATTTAGGGGGATTTATGGTAATCCCTAAAAATCAGAACCAAAAATCTCTATATCGGGTTTACAAATACACAAACCACGCTTTTTACTGGTTCAGAAAACCAGAAGGGTGATTAGGGTTTTCCAGAGAGAGAGAGAGAGAGAACGCAGAGCTAGAGACTTGACCCAACATTTATTATACCTGGTAGAGAAGATATAAGGAGGTTTGCTAAACCCTGTCGCAACAATTAAGTTCTGTATCCTCACACAGTCACACAGGGAGCAATGATCGATCTCAGAATTCTCACAGGTCTCGTCAATCTGGCCCCTCAGCCAAGAAGAAATCCGATACTGATAAGAAGAAACGAGGCCTCACAGCGAAACCCTAAGGGTTTTCGAATGTTTCTTGATTTTCCATAACAAGATAAAAACAAGCGTGGTGTGGACTCACAAGTAAGGATTTAGAGGGGTGAATAGGAGGCTGAGATCATAGAAGCGAAGAATAAAGAAAGGGAAGAGATAGTTAGAGACAACGAGGGAGGGCGGCATACGACAACGAAAAACTTCATCATCTTCTTCCACTGCCTGGCGGTGTTTGATTCGCGGCGACGATGTGATTAGGGCAAGAGGGAAACAACCATCGAAATAGAGAAACAAAAGGGGAGAGTCGATTGTGAAGATAAAGAAAAGAAGGTAGAAAAGAACGGCGGGTTTTCAAAATTTTAGGGTTTCGTTTCCCCCGTTATCTTCTCAAGGCGCATTTCCTTAAAATTATAAAGCAACACCTACAGAAGACGCACGTTTAAGATAAAGCGCCCTCCGTGTTTTTAATTTTTTTTCGTGAGACACTAATTTAAGGGCACGCAAAAATGCGTGTCCACTATCCTTTAAATTTTGGAAGTCTGACATTATTTTTAAGGATGCCCAAAAATGGGTAACGTGAATCAGTGAGTGTCATTGTTTGCGCGTCATTAAAGGCTATTTTTTCTTGTAGTGCAGTGTTTAGGTACTAAGTCCATAGCAACCAACGTTTATCTATCAGGTACTAAGTCCATAGCTACCAACGTTTATTCAATAGGCACTAAGTCCATAGCTACCAATGATCACTCATATCATCTTTTATCTCTCATTATTCATCTACCTATGTTATACACAACATATTTGTAGATATAAAATACGTATACAGTTTAAATTTGTATAAAATCGTTCATCCATCATAGATAGCAAGTATACAGATAATATGCACACATAGCACGTAGTTTATATAAAATACTTCATATCTATGTGTAAGATGAAAGGGACCATGCACTCACCTGAGTAGGTGACTCAGCGCTTGGACAACACTTTGTTACTCTTAACACAATTTTCCTTCGGCAAAACCTAGTTTCATTACCACTAGGGTTTAGTCTAATATTCACCGAGACTAATTAATTGTGTAGATATTATTACTATTATATAAGCGTTAAACGATACTTATGTAACCCATAATAATAGCCCAAGTACTTATTATAAGGTCCTAATAACATTACTATATTAAAACATAAGCTAAACTAAAGATAGGTTAGGTGTAGCTCACTTACAACAACTTTTTCTCAAAACCGGGCTTTGCTAGAGTAGCGTTTCCAAGCCGAAAGGCTCTTTTCTCAGGACTCCTGGAGCCTCGGGGCTTCCTTCGGATGCTAGGGGGTTTACCTAGACTTTAGGTGGGCTTAGGGAGCTTAGAGAGAGAGAAAGAGTGTGTGTAGAGAGAGAAAGAAGGTTTGAGAGATGTGAAGAAACGGCAAGACCCGACACCTCTATTTATAGTGAAATATCTGATGGACTCGCCGAGTTTTGACCAAAAACTCGCCGAGTTGGTGCATGTGGCAGCCTTCTGGTGGTGCCACATCACCTAATATTGTGTATCAGCCTCCCGACTTAGATAAAATCATAACTCTCGCATATGAGCTCCGTTTTCGACGTTCTTTATATCCACGCGTAGGTAAAATCAAGATCTACAACTTTCATTTAGACTACATTGACTAATTCTCGATCGATCTTAAATTAACAGTAGGTGGAGATTAGACTGTTAAATGACCATGAAGAATTCGTAACTCCTTCATACGGACTCCATTTTCGTCTGTATTTTGTGGTTGAGCTCCTATTAATGAGATATTCAACTCTCATTAAGGTTGTATAAGCCAAAAACCGCTCGATCTAAAATTCGAGTTTCGGGCCGTTCACTGCTAAGCCGAATCTTAGAAAAATCATAACTTCCTCATACGAAGTCAGATTTGGGTGTTCTTTTTATAGATGTTCTCGGTTTGGCGTATAGTAAAACTTTGGTTTAGATCACTAAGGATAAAAAGTCCTCCATCATAAATTCACTATTTACGTCTCCTAGTGCCGTGCCGGTTTTGCCGTAAAACTTCGACGGGCCATAAATTCTTCGTTATAACTCGGATTTAGGCGTTCTTTATATGTACAGAACCCTTGAAACATATTCTACAACTTGTTTAAGATTATTTATTCTAAATAATATTTTGTCGAAAAGTCATTTTCGACCCCTATTATCTCTAAATTGACTAGCCCAGATCTACAGGCGTTACTATTATCTCCCTGTTAGGTTGATTACGTCCCGCAATCATCAACGAAACATGGCTCACATGATGAATCCATAAATACCTCTTCATCCTAAGTAATAACCGTAACTTTGATGTTTCTTTAAACGAGTATCTAACTCTAAGACTTCCTGACTGCAGGCGGTGCTTGATCTTGCACTTGCTCCCTATCTCACGTTAGACTCGAAATTATGACCTTCAAGTCACAATCTCGATCATCACTGGATACGAACTTAAGATATGCTCTTTTATTACTATCATGGACCGATGTATCATATTCTAATGACATCTCATCATATGTTGGAACGCTCAGACTCAGGTTTCTTAGAGTCAAATTCCAGAATAGACTATACCTTCCTTCATGTTCTAATGTGATACAATCACATTTCAATATGTAGCATTTGTAGCTACAAACTTCTTTAACAATCATCACGATACTTCTACTGATCTCCTTGGTTAGCTTTTATTTCAATCTTCTGGTTTAAGTCAAATGCTACATCAAACTTGGTTCTCTGAACCACGTATCATACTCATCGTAGTCGGACTTAACTTGATATGACCACTAGGGTTGGAATAACAACAATCTTCTTAGTCATTAGCAAATCAATGGTAACGACATATTTGAATAAAACGATATCAATTATTAGCTTCTTGGTAACCTTGTGACTTTCCCTGATCCAAGTGCGAGTCCTGTGCTTTCGGTAGTATAGGCCTCTACTACCTTTCACACCTACTCATTCTCATCCCAAGTATTGTCTCTTAGTTTTATCCAAGTCACCATGTAGGAAGATCACACAATCATTCAACACATCAGATAACATAACAAAGGCTTTATATTATTCCTTGAAACGATTACATAGGTGTTCAATTTTACCCTAGACTATGCCTCTAAGAGGCTACTCCACACGATACTACTCTCTTGGCTACTTTGTAACTCATCCTCGATTCTTCGCGTTGTTTTCTGCTTCGTCGAGGATCATGTGGAATGCCTTTGGCCTTGGTGGTGTATTTGGCCTTGCTGCTTTATCTTTCCTCGGGCAGTCTCTGGACATGTGCCCCTTGCCTCCACATCCGTAACATACCTTATCATTATGTGTACAGTCCTTGGAATAGTGACCAGACCTCCCACACTTGTAACAGGTTACTTCTTCATTGCATCTCCCACTATGCTTCTTCTTGCACTAATCACACCATCTCACATCACCTTTCTCTCCTTCTCCGAGCTTCAAGAATTTTCTCTCCTTGTTGGACCTTGAATATCCTTCAAACTTCCTCTTTTCTCCCGCCTTATCTTTTTCCAAACCCTTTTCTCTTATCTGGGTCTCTACGTTCTTAGCAGCTCTAACGGTTGTTTTCAAAGTAGTTTCCATTTTGACCATTGGGCCAAAGTCTGTCGGCAGTTCGTTAGCCAACCTATCAATCTTGGAGAGTTTAGTAGGAACCAAGTAGGGAAATAGCTTCATCTTCTCGGTAAATTCGGTGGCATACTCATTAACACTCATCTTCCCTTTCTTCAGGTTCTGAAACTCATTGTTTAGGTCTATTAGATCTATTTCTGAGCAGTACTGCATTTTCAACTGTTCCAAGAACTCTTCCCATGACATCCTTAGGGATTCTTCTCGTGGCATCGTATCTGCCAATAGCTTCCACCAGCTCAAGACTCCAGTTTTCAGTTGTCTTACTGCGAAGACAGTCTTCTGTTTCTCGCTACAGCTACAGCTCTCAAACACCATCTCCATCTCGGAGATCCAATCCATAATCTCAACCGACTTCGGGCTTCCTGAGAGACTCTGTGGTTTCGCACCCAAGAAATTCTTGTACATTCGCCCACCCTTGTCGTTTCTCCTCTCCGGTCCATCCCTTCGTTCACCTTGAGTCCCCACCTGACTCACTTGGCGGCTGTAGTTCCTTTCCTCTATTTGCTCGGGAATCAGCTCGGGTTGCTCAATGGGCATAGTAGGTTCGTCCGTATTCAACATCCACCTTATTTTTCCCTTTGTTCAACTAACATAGCCCGAATCATGGCTTGTACTCCAGCCATGGTGATTCGCTCGGGTACCTCTTCTACTACAACATGTATTTGCTAAATCACCGGGGGTTGATTCCTATTCCCATTTGTATTCCCAGCTCTACTGCGGGTTCTTGCCATTTTGATCTATACATCGAATAAGGTGAATCTAGATCTTAATTTGGGATTGAAGTTTTAAATCATCCTTATCACTCCGAAACGTTTATATGTTAGTTCTAATATCGTATTCATACGTTTAGAATCCTAAACACACAAGGTTTCCAGATCCGGTCGGCAACAGACCATAGATCTGATCAAACTATAGCATAAAGCATAACAAATCATTTAGCACGTAAAAGCAATTTAGGCATCATTCCTAAAATAAGCTAGTGCTTATTTCTATTCATGTGTATTACCTAAATCTATTAGACACACTCCTCACAATCATTGCTTAGCATTCTAAGTTTAAGTCTAGAAATAAATCCATATTCCTAGTTCACTTAAACTAATGCTCTGATATCAACTATGACATCCCCATTTTCACGGTCAGAAAAAACCGATTTTTGTTGATGCTTTATAAAAATCAGAGTACCTCTTTTAATAAAAATGTTGCGGAATTTTTTCCCAGTAAAACATGATAAATACATTATCAGCATTTCTGAAGAAAAGTATTTCTTATTCATTTTAAAACATTTGGGATGTCATCGTCAATACGGAAACATAAGCATAAACAAAACTTACATTCATTATCACTAGTGATTTATATCTCCTTAATCTCTCAGTGTAATGTGACTTCATATCAACACCTATGATATAAACAAGTTGAGTGGGTTAGGTTGGGAAACCTGGTGAGTACATAGGGTTTTCAACCCACAATAATATGATTATTATCTTTAAACAATCAAACAATCAACCCAATTACCCATCCCCGTTATCTTATT